ACATTACTGGAGCATTGGAAAGGAGGAGCATCGGAGCTAACAACACAGGCAAGAAGACAAAAGAATCAGGTGAGTCTGTTGGGAACCACGAGCGAGATTTTGGATTTACTCGGTTAACAACTGTTTTTTGCTTTCTGGCCTTAATAGTTTCTTGAAAAAATATACTCTTTTTGATCACCAGTTTTTTGCGCAAACAAAAACTAAAAAGATATCTCTATATCACTACCGGTCGTCTCTCTATATATTTTGATAATGTATAAATATATTTTTTTGAAAGTCTCCCAATTGCACCAAAGTTGGAGCCTTCTTTTTTGTCGTGTCATTGCCAAAGCCATCCGTGGTGGCCATGTTGCCCATTATTTCCTTTAAAGTTTCCAAGACCGCCATTATCGTTACACAAATAAGGCCAAGAGCCCCCACGCTGTTGCTCCTGTGCAAATTCCCGCATGTTTGTTATATAATACAAAAAAACTATTAAAATGAGGTGAGGTGTGTCGCCCAACCCATAAGGTGTCTGATACAGATACAGTACAAGGTCCTGCGACACCATTTTAGGAATATAATTGAAATCGAGCTTTCTATATGTCTACTTGTCTATATAGTTTATAGTTGATTGGTTTTTATTTTATAATTGACAGTAAACCAACAATAATATTATACGTCAATTATGACTAGACAAACATAGTTCACACTAACTTAAGGTGTTGTTTTCAATTCACTTCTTGTTGTCTGACCAAAGATTGGATAGTTGTGGGCTTCCAAATATATGAATTATATGTTTAGACAAATATCTTTTTTCTAATTAAACTAGAATTTGAATACTGAGGTAACCCAGGCAAAATCATTGCACAAGTTTTGATACTTCATTTTCTGTTTGAGATACTTTTGGATCAAGTGGGCTCTTCTTATATGTTTCTCTTTCTTTTTAGTATAAATTATGCTCAAACCCAAGGTTGAATCCAATGTTGAAGGACTCGGCCAAGGTCATTCGAATTCAGCCAACTAGCTCAGCCTCGGTGTCCTGCCAAGGCAAGTTTACTGCCTAATTCACCCTTCTTAGAAGCTCTTGAAAACTCAATAATGTTGTTAAAATATCACTAATATATAATTTAGAAATATGATCCTAGTCAAATCTTATGATTTTTTTTATTGATTTGTGACCTTTTCTTATCATATGCTTCGCCTTTTTATTATTTTTTTGAAATATTTAAAGATAAATTATTTCTCAAATACTCTATTTTTTATATGCTTTTATCAAATTGTATAGACTTTTAATGAGTACTACTACTTATTTTAGTTTTTGCTGCTTGTACTTGTTTTTAACAATTTTGGATTTTTTGATCTTTATTGGGCTCGTGCAGGGCTCGGCTAAGTCCAAGAGCCAAGGCCCCAGCCAAGTCACAAAACCTTGGTTGAATCAATGAATACTTTCGAGTTGAGTCGGGGAATTGAATGTAGTTCTTTCAGTATCTATGTTTATTTCTTCCTTTCATCCGATACCAAAAGATAATCTATTCTCTCAAGAGTATACTGTCCATTTAGTCCCTTGAGTAACTCGGGTAAAACCCTACCTAGGATTAGTTTTTGGATCCCAAATTTTGGGGATATGACCTGAATAATTTTTTTTCTTCTAATTACACCATTTAAGCACTTGAAAAAAATAATGTCTCAAGATTGAATATAAACAGTCCAATTTTTAGAAGGTGAGATAAAAGTGTGAGAAAACTCTTTTTCTTTTGTTTTGAATAATCATCTAGTGATTCTCATATGGTTGCCAAATTTTCAAATTGAAAAAAATCCTCCGAAATAGGTCAGGGAGTAGAAGCAAACTATGCCCCTAAGGAACATGGTATACATGCTCAATTATTTTGAAGGTTTGGTACTTCTTTATTCCTAGTTGGGGTATATGATTTGAGTGGCAAGTAGGTTAGCAAGGCTAGGCCTAGCATGGTGATTGAGGTAATGTCATACTTTCCTTGAAGATTCCATTTTTATGGCTACCTTTTGGACACATTCTGATGCCTCATAGATGGGGCCTCAAGTAGATGGATTGCGGTTTATATTTTGAGTGAAACCTTTATACATGGTTCTTTTTCTTCTCCATTGGATCTAAATGGAGCTTCAAGCATCATCATGTCACAATATAGTTTTTTCGCTTTTTGGTCTTGATCCGACTGATCAAAATGTATATTGTATTCCATTTTATTTTTATTTTATCGATCATTTTAATATAAAATTTGGGGCAGGTCCGCTTCTCATAGGAATGCATCTAGTGAAAATAAAAAAATATTTTTGATAAAGCAAATAATGCACTTTTAACTTGATTTTGTTGTATCAGAAGTGTTTTTTTACAAGGTAGCTCTTTATAGGAATGGGCACGCCCCATTTCATGTCAAAATAACTTACAATAAAATTAAAAATCAAATAGTGAAGCTATCTCAACTGTCTACTTGGATCGTATGACTGAGAATAGCAGTTACTTATTTTATATAAAGGCTTCCCCTTTTAAGAAGGTGTCCTTAATGAGAGAAACTTATGTGCGAAAAAATGTGAATCTTGGTTTTTTATTTCACTTTTGGGTGCTTTATTTGAGATGGACTCTATACCTCGTGCGAGTTAACTTATAGTTTTCCCTTCCTCTTTTTTTTTGTTTTTTTTTTTTTGAGAGAGAGTTTTCCATGCTTGCATAATATTCTTTGTTAAATAAAAGAAAATTTTGCGTCCTCGTTGATACAGAATTCCCGAACCACAATAGAACTCGTGCTTCACTCTTTTTATATTTCTGTACAATTTCTCTTCCCAAAATATTTAGAAAAATTGTTCCATGAGTCAGCTGTTGGAAGAGCCAACGTCCATTTCTAAGATGGACGTTGTGTAAAATGCACGCGTCAAATCAAGTATAAATGGTACCAAAAATATCCTAAAAATAAGCACATTTTAAAGTTCAATTTTTAGTTTTTCATATTTATGATAAGCTTGGAATATGATGAATCCTTAAAATATTGAATCAAAAAACCATCTTTAAGGTGAATTTTTGAGGGGGGCATGTGTCAGCTTACTCAAAGAAAACCCATCCTTAATTTCATCCGAACCTGCTCTTCATCCTTTGCACTGGTGTTCCATCAAACAGCCTTTAAAAATATCGTTGCAGGGTCTTGTTTCTTCCAAAATGATAAGCTTTCCTGCAACATAAAACTTATATACTTCCCCTTATCCAACCGTCCATTCTGAATGGAAGGCTAAGATTGTTCCGATCACAATATCACGTCTCTACACTATTTTTATTTTTAATTTTTTTCTATAAACTATTTTGACACCAAATTTTGGATATTGAATCCTCTATTAAACTCGCACTAACAAAAAATATAAAAACAAATATTTCCAATAAAATAAAATGATCAAAATACCCCTGAAAGTTTCAAAGGGCATTTTGATCATTATATTCTTATCGAAAAATTATTTTTAATATTTTTTATAGGTACGCCCCAATGAAAAGTTGGCACGTACCAAATTTCATATTCGTACAATTTGTATAAAAATAACAACTAAAAATAAAATAGTTTGAGACATCGGATCTGTGAAGACTTCTGATGAGTTAATGAAATGAGTTATGTGAAAATAAAATTGGGTTGCAAAGAATTACCATGAAAAAAAGTGAGTATAAACATATTTTTCGAGAAGTTGAACAGCTTTTTGATAAGAGGTTGTATACAATGAGACCATTTCCTTTTGATACAAAGAAATCACAATCACTTATAACCATTTGATTTCAAATTTGATAATTTACGTGTTACAGAGTTCAAAAAGTTTCTTTTGAAGTTTGAGCTCGGTCATTGGAATAAATGTTGCTATCCAATTTCACATATAACAACCAAGATAAATTGTGAACACCTTGTACCAAAAATAAATGATCTTATTGTGGACGTTTTCTTTTAATAATATTATAGATGATTTTAATGAAAATATTGCAAAAAATTTGGCAATAGCACTTGTTCTGATGACGAGTACTCAAATAAGTGTCATTCAAGATATTTTAGAATTATAAAAGAAAAGTTGGCCTTATCTTTTCTAGAGAGAATATTGTTCCAATCTTAGGTGTAGTTGTTAATGATGGGCTGGTATGAATTGTAGCAAAGTAGAGAGAGAGATATGACACTATAAAAGGAAAGTTGTTAATGATGGGCTGATGTCATGAAGTATGTAACTGCACAGGGCCATTCAATCTCCACCATGAATCAATGTATGGACGGCCATGCCCTTGGGGGTTATGAACGGTGTGCTTCCCATGGGTCTGGTGTACTGTATATGGCGCACCTCATTTACTAACCATTTCAGATAATGAACCATACCTAGTTCAGTGGCCAACATTGGGAACTACAAACAATCACCAGCATCCAACATCAAGCAGCAATGATTGATACACCTATGATGTATCATAGAACATACATCATTGGGTGGGTATAGTTTCCCCTCACAAAAGAAGTGTCCTAACAATAATAGCAATTGATATAGGGGGCTTGGAAACAAGGCATTGGTTAACGTGGAAAGTTAAATTGAGGTCCTACTCAAAGTGCAATCTCCTTCTAAATGTTTATCTTATACATGGATTTTAGATCTAAAATTTTGTAGACAATCTCCTTCCAACTATATTCTTTGGAGGTATGTTTTCGCATTCAATTTGAACTAAGTCGCACTTCCTAACAGGTGATGTACTAAATCGGACCACACATAATCAACCCATGTAAGTCTACTTTCTCTCATCTTATCACCTATTGGAACTACATTTAAATTCTCCCGAATCTATTTATTTCAAATCCTATCCCTTCTTGTCTTTCTACTCATCCATCTCAACATCATCATCTTAGCTACACTCATTTTATAGGTATGTTTTTTAATTGCCCAACATTCTGATATGTCAAATAAAGCCGGTCTCACATCTATCCTAAAGAACAAGTGCCACACAAACAAGAAAGAGAGAGAGAGAAAGAGTAAAAATAAAATGCCACACAAATAAAGATTGACATTAAAACATGCAATATGTTGCACACAACAAATCCATCACTTATGTAATTACAAAAAATCAATTGAGAATTGATATAAGACACGCAAAATTGCGTTACAAAAACCCAGCGATACGTTTTAAAACAACTGTCCTCTAAGCAAAAGGGATGTAAACTCACACGTATATGATTTCTCCAACATGGTCATAAGAAGACATACCTGGATGATGATCAAGGTGGAACTCAGGTAATGTTGGTTTCCCAAGCAGTACTGGGTTTTGGAGGAACCAAAGTAACTGTTGCAGTGAGAAAAATCTCTTTTAACTTTCAAGGTCATGGAAGACTGGGTTGGCTTGGAGTTCCTCAACGAAGGCCTTGAATATTCCCTTTACAATTCCCTCAAACTCTTCTCTCTCTAGCTCAGCACTCTTATCTTTATCAAGCCCACTAAACACTTGACCATACAGAAGCACCACTGCTGGATTGGCTTCTAATGGGGGGAGGCCCAGTTCAGACCCTTTTCTCTCTAGGTAACCCCTTATTTTCTCTATGCTCGGTGGGCCATTCTCTTTACTCGTTACATCTCTAAAAATGCTCTCAGTTATTTCATTCAATTGTTTCTGGTCATCCAAAACCTAAAAATGACAAGAGGCATTATTACCTAATCAGTCGATAAAGAGATCATGCATACACAAAAAATACCACTTTAAATTTTTCATACATTTGTGCCAATGAACATGTATAGATACACACATTCATACAAGCCTACATGCATAAATATATATGAATAGGTATGCACAGCTATATATATATATATATATATGGAAGATACTACAAAACGTCTATAGACGAAAATGAACAGTGATTTCACCTACCTTCATCACAGTCTAAAGTTCATCACACAGTCACGATTGTCCAGTATTGTTTTATTTTTTATTTTTTTTCTACAAATTGGAATGATCTGAAATTTGGAACGTGTGTTCATCAAAAATAGGTAAATCTATGAAAAATATCAAAAAAATATTTTAAATGAAAAAAATTGAACAAAATACTTGTGACAAAGTTTGGAGGTATTTTGGTCAAAATATTTTCACGAATTATTATTATTTTTTATTTCTATTAGCTGCACCTCACTAAGATGTACACACACTTCAAATTTCAGATCATTCCGATTTGTAGAAAAAAATGAAAAATGAAACACTACCGGTCAATCTTGACCATGCAATGACCTTTGGAAGGTGATGAGGGTAGACGAAATCACTGTTTATTTTCGCCTGTAGGTGTTGGGAAGACTTTTCCTATATGTATATATAGGAAAGAGTTGAAGTTAGCCCACTAGCTTATATGAACATATGAGCCCAACGGCCCAGATTAAATCTGAGCCGATTTGACGATCACATATGTCCGATAGTGTCTGAATTTTATTTTATTTTCTACAAATCCAAATCACTTCAAATTTTAGACGTGTGTTCTTCTCATCAATGCGCACCTAATAAAAATATAAAAAAATTTATTATTCATAATATCAGCTTGAAGATTGCTCCAATCTATCACATTCTACTGAAGCTGAATATTCATTATAATAGAGATCCAGTTCATATTCTTTCTTCTCTTGAATCCGTGGAGCTATCTCCATAATTGGAAACTACGATCGGATGGAAGCATTGGTTTCTACATTTAAGGATTGGTATCGACCTTGAGGTTGGGGAGATTTCGCTATCTCCGGGAGGAGCGCACCTTCAGTTCCAAAAAAAAGGTCATTTTTGCATCGAAAGAATGCCCCGAGAAGTCTATTATTCTGAACCGAGCTCACAAGTGAACGAGGAGATATGAAGATGGCGACTGAGGTTGCAGTTCCTATTCTTAGGGAATTTCAAGATCATAGTGGATCCACAATGGATTGGTCCATTTCCAATGGAATAGCAAAGTTCACAGATCTAATGCAATAAGGTTTACGGCTACACAGACCATTGATGATACTTTCAGATCTGGACCAGGACGAACTTTTATAGGAGATTGATTAAGAAATTCGGAGGTGAACAAGATGAGGAACTACTCCAGTGCTGCAATGGCTCCATTGCTAGTCTCCCTGGTTTCGAGAGTGAGATCGATGCGCATCGCATCCCCTCGCACCAGTTCTCGACAGATAGTGGGTGAGCTAGCATACTGTCGAAGGGAAATCAATCTTAGTAGTGGCGAAGGACCGTTTCTTATTTGATTGAAAGATAGGAAGCCTTGGCCCCCTTCCCTTCGCTACGTTCAGGTTTGCAATTCGGGGGGAGAGCGTAAAGCCGCCCTTATACTCTATGCATTCATTTAAGGCAACCATTAGGTTGGTCGGACAAAGAAAAGTTTTTTCTCTCCGACATATGGTCCAATCTGTAGTTGGGCAGAAGTGATAGAACTAGCTCTCCATGACTCATAACCAGGGGGGCTCAAAGTCTAGCCACCAATAGCTTTTCACTATGTATGGTATGGAGCCGTGCCTCTCGATATGGTTCTATATATAGCGGATCTCTCTTCATATCTAGTTCAAAAAATGTTGACCTTTAATAACGAAACTTTTGGAATAAACGAGACTTTTTGAATAAGACATTCTCTCAGATGAAAGAAGACCGGAGGCCTCTAGCAAGTGATGCAAGTCTTTTTTCATTAGGGGGGAAAGAAAGGGGTGGGCTCTTCCCATCCAAGAGATACCCGTGCACAAAGCACCCTGGGGGCGCTGCATAACATTCTTGATTGATCCGGGGGCCGGGCCATTGTGATAGAGATCTCGATTCATCATACTAAATCGAGGAAAGGTCGATCCTAGCTTGGGGGGGACATGCATCATATGGAATGAGGTAGGCCCGCGGGACCAAGACTAGCTCTACTCCTGCCAATGCTCGCCCGCCTTACTTCGGTACTAAACAGGGACCAGCCCCCTCCTCCCGCTCCGCGTAGTCGCTCCCCTCCCTGCAGCCCTCCACCCCTGACTACCCGTGCGACACCGGACCTTGTTTGTTCTCATTCGATCCGGAGATCGGGGAGGGAAATTGACCCATATGATCTATAACAGATCTAGCCCGACAGCAACGGGGAGCCAAAAAGAAAAAAATGAACAACAAGAAGCAAGGGCTAGCGCGGCGTTAACGCGAATCCGTTTTATTGCTGCTTGCAGCTCTAAGATAAGTAGAAGAGAGAGCAGATTGTGCTAAGGCTCCTAACTCTACAAATCAAGCTGAGCTGGCTACAATCCGAATTTGACAGCTACTCGTTGAATAGCTCGGATTTGAGCTACGGATCCCGCTGAAGATATGGCCTACATGAATTGCAGGTGGACCTCCAGCATTAAGTAGATCAGCCGATAATAATCTTTGTCCGAAATGGGTAGTGGGAATAGGAGCCGAAATCCAAATTGAGTGCCGACTGAACCATCAGTAGAGCATTCGTACTCCCTTCACCCAAATTAGAACTTGATTTGGTGGGGCGCAAATAGAAAACATCTCCGAGCTTCCAAGTGGTTTTCTCAATCTGGATAGAAGAGAGATTTGTAGATAGGCTTGTGCCTGTTCGAACCTTAGAAGTTCTTGAAGTGTGCCCTAATAACCATGCAACGTTAAACTCCTTATCAGTTGGTCGTCAACTAAAGTGCCTCAGTTAGAATAGGGTAGATAGGAGTGGGCATGAAGCACTTTCGCAATAGCTGGAAGCGGGAATGGAAAGACTTTCTATAACACCAGCTGACCGAGGAGACTCGTTCCCGGAATCGGCCCAACAGAAGCACCTCTACCGTCGATCTCGGAATTCAGGATTTTGGTCAAGCTAGCGAACTCTCTCGGACCGATCTATATTGTCAGGTCCCAAAAATGAGAGGCATTTTTCAGTACGTGAAGCTTCTTCGAGCCGGTTGGCCAGGGATAATGGAAAGTACACTTGTTGATGCAGTCATCAAAGTAGGAACATCAAAATCTCAGACCAACTATTCCTGCTTGTAATGAATCAAAGCCACAGCTAAACAAAAACCCCATGCCAATGTACGATGTCAAACACGACATAACATAAAGGGTCACTCATTCTGGTGAATACCTTCTTTCATACCGTATCTTTTTTAGCATCTTTCTTAATATAAAATAAAATGCAGTTAATCATCTTAAACTTGCGAATCATCAGTTTGAGTCTTAGTATCAATTTGGAATTCTTATCTTCCACTTGCAAATCATTAGTACAAGAACCAGAATGAGAAAACTGTGATGTAAGTCAATTTTTCCTTGCATAACACAATAGGTGTTTCTGCGTCTTGAGATCCTAATTGCCATGGAGCTCTGGTAGTCATACTTTCTAATAGAGTCAATGGCGCTTTACATAATGGAATTCCGCTTTACTAAGAAACCGTTAACAAAATCCAACCTCTTCTTGAATAAAACCTTCATTTCTCCTTAACTTAAGAAAATCAAATAGTATAATAAAATAACGAGTAGCGAATGCCCTCGCGAACCTCGAGCTTTTTTGGGAGTTCTCCCAACCAAATTGCTCGAGGCTCTCATTTACAAGCATATTCACAACTAAACCATCACACTCAAAGCCTATTTTGCATTGTCTTTGCCTTGGTGTTAGCATCAAGCGTTCAAAGGATACACCTGCTCTTCTGACCTGTGGTACTTGGATCGAGGTCCATTTTTCTTACAGGTCTATAGGTCGCGCTCTTGTATACCCGAACAATCAAGAGGCATTCAAATTGCAATCGTAATATAGCCAGTAGCTGATTGAGTTGTTGTCTTTCGAATCTTTCTTCTCATGGAGTGGGTCTGTAACTGGTTTGAGTTTGCACAGCACATGTCTCATTATCCCACATGGTCTTGAGTGGAGTTCCTTAATGAGGTTCTATGAAGTGGAGCGCCCAGGTTCCAGTGAGGCTATTTGTGAGTGGAACGATAGTCATTTGTTGTTAGTTGTTAGCTTTTCTAACAGCTTTCCTATCTTGTGTTTGCAAAGCGCTTTCCTCTAGCAGCCAATCTTGCTTCGCCCTACAGCTAGTGGAGACAACGACTAATAAGATTGACGACAGGAGAACACCTTGCTATTGCTTGCCTTCGGAATAGACTAATTGCCAGCCTTCGGACTAAAAGCTAGGAAGAACTACCTTTCGAAAAGATACGACTACTGACACCTTAGTCACTCCTGTAGGTCCGTTGAAGGTGAGTGTAAAGAACCAGGGGCACGACTGATACGGCTTGCCGTGTTGTTGTTGTTATGTTAGGAGTCCCGCCCCGTTGGGGCTTAGGGGGGACGGACGCTTGCTGCTTTAGTGGAAAGAGAAAGATCCCTTACCTCTCTTTCGAAACAGATACGACTTACCTTAGTGTACGCCTTTAGGTTCGTTTAAAGAAATGGAGCGAAGTGATTCTCTTTGGAGAATCACGAGTGCAACGGCTTTAGTAGCTGCTTTAGTCGAAACTTGCTCGCCTCACTTTCGGACTTCTAACTTTCAGACTCAAAGCTAAAGCTAGGACTAATCACCTTTTGCAAACTGACTAATGAAGGAATACTTGGGACTTGCCTTCGAACTAAAATCCAGGGACTAAGAGTTCCTTCGTCCTTCGTCTTTCGAACTTCAAGCAATCTGACTTGTTTTACTAGCTGAGACTTCCTTGCTTCGCCATACGGCTAGAGGAGATTAGGACCAACAATAGTCACTACAGGAGAACGCCCTGCCTTCCGCTCCTTTAAGAAAGACAGACCTAAATTTAGGTGTGTGTTCTTCTCATCAAGGCGCACCTAATAAAAATATAAAAAAAAATTGTTCGCGAAAAACAAAATGACCAAAATACCCCCCAAAACTTTACATGAAATAAATTGACCAAAATACCCCCAAAAAGTTCCGGGGTATTTGGTCAATTTATTTCATGTAAAATATTTTTTTTATATTTTTTGAAGATCCACCTATTTTTTATTAACACACGTCTAAAATTTCAAGTGATTTTGACTTGTAGAAAGAAAATAAAATTCAAGCACTACCAGACATTCGTAATCGTCAGATCGGCCAAGATTCAATCTGGACCGTTGGGCTCATATGTTCATATGAGCTAGTGGGCTAACTCCAGCTTTTTCCATATATATTTATATACATATATATATATATATATATATATATAAGGGTGCACGTATGTGTGTGCCTACACACACCACACATGAGAGAGAAGTGTGTTTTAAATTCGTCCAGCGCATAGATATGCATGGTACCTTTCTGAGCTTGGAGCCATTGATGACCTTGATATCTTGGATGACAACAATGGGCTTTGAGGATAGGGAATCGGCAAGGTCTTGGAGGACGGCCTGAAGCAGGTGAGCAAATTGGGCTTGGCCAAGCTCTTCTGTGCCTTCGGCTCCATGTTTCTTCAAAATGCTGGTAAGAAGAGCATCTGTTTCCATCCTATCTGCAATTCAATAAGATAGACCCACAGCACGGGGTTTTTCAAGGACCAAATTCATTAGATGGTTACTTCAGTAGCAAATGATCGTATTGACTAAGATCCTGTAATGGAAAAAATCAACAATATTATTGGAACCAAGTTCCAAATTTTTTGTATCTTTTCGGAATTTGGAGTGAACTTTCAGTCAAATATGATTCTAGAGGAATTCTCAAAAAGAAAACAACCACATGTAGGCATAAAAAGAACTTGGACTTGAAAAAAAGTCTCCAGTAACTTCCAAGAAAACAATAAAAAAAATTAATCTGTTACCTTGTTTTGCTTTATTGGGAAGTAAACAATGGAACAACAATGTAACATCTCTAATATGACCAACTAAAAAAGGGGAAACATAAACAAAAAAATGACTAACCTGAAAAAGGAGGAACACCCATCTCTACGCCCATCTGAATGAGAGCATTTTGTATTTCATTTTTGCTGAGCTTGCCAGTGTCTTCTAGATCTAAATCGGTGAATATATTCTCAGCCAACATGGCAAAATCGTCTTCATCCTCCAAGAAAAGCCGAAGGACTCCCCCATCGAGAATGGAAACAACTAGCGGATCATCTAATACCATGTTTAAGCTAATAAGGTTGCATGCAGTTAATCAGGGGAACAAGAGGGGAGAATATATCAATAAACCAATAATAAATGTGAAAATTCATTATGTGTAACCAATGGCCCTATTGAATCATCATTATAAATAAATGAAAACAAAAGTAACATGCCTTGTAATTATTATGTATATGGCGAATGAACAAAATAAAATTTGTAAGCCATAAAACATAAACATATATATATGTCTTTTCGATAAGTTGCAAAAGAAATAAATTCAGAAGAAACAAGTCCACATCTTGCTAAACGTAGCTAATTTTCAATCACAAATAATGTAAAAGCAAATCTGAAGCAACTTTAGAATGCTTAAAATTACAAGCAATGACAGCTAATGAAAGCTAATAAAATGTCACAAATAAGTAAATAACTAATCTAGGAGTTTCAACATCATCTTGTCCATTGCACACGAATTCAAGTTGAAAATTAGAGAATTCACCTTCCTCAAGGAATGACCATGATTATCATGGGACAAAGATTTTGTGAGCAATATTAGGACATCCCCTCTTCAGTGATTGGTGTCATAAATATGGGAGATACATCTCATGATCCTATTGTTTCTTTATACTATGTCCGTTTGCCAAGACTATTCATACACCAATTTGACTCATAAAGACAAGTTTAAACAAACTTAAAGATGAGTTATATCATTATTAATTGAAAAGAATAGTGTAAAACCTTTCAAGGATGAATACACTTTACATGCACCACCAAAATTTTCTAACAGAAACTCCCTTAATGATAGAGGCCGTTCGCTCTTCCTTCCCAGTTAGAATGTGTAGGGAGAATTTGGAGTATCTCTTAAACCCAATATGTAACTCCATCCAGACAAGATAGTCCCATGAGAATAAAGTATTGCTTGAAAGAAGAGCAGTGACCAGCGACAGGTCCAGGAAACTTTGAAGGGCATTACGCCATTTGAAAACTTTGGTCAAGTGACTGGCAGCACCTGAATCACTAGCAATTAGTAAGTGAGCAGCAATAATTGAATCTCCTGAAGAGTCTTACGTTAGTTGCTATCAAGGTGGGAAGCATACGTCAATGGGCTGCCAAGGTGACAAACACCTCGTAAGCTTCCTAAAAACTTGAAGGTTGTGTAAATCACTTCAATGGTCTTCAAGATAGTATGTTATATCACTGAAGGCTGACAAAACGACTCTTGTTGTAGTGGCTAGGAACACAAAGGAACCTCCCTTTGAAATTTTGATTTTACGAGCAATTTCTTGGAAGTGTTAAGAAGAATCCAGGGTAGGAAGAAATTGGTGTAGTCCATAAAGATTTGAATGGAGGGACCTTAATGCCATTCAAGGTCCCCTAGGAGTTAGTAATGCAATTGTAGCAAATGCACGCCGATGCATCTACTTTTTAAAGACATAACTTGTCACCTGGATGTTCTTTTAAGGTGATTCAAATATCAAATTGAAGGTCTCTTTGTGATTTATGACTACTATCTCTAGGGTCTTGCCCAATTCAGAAAAAAAATTTGGACTCAATTTTTAGTCAAAAGGCAGCTGAAAATTTTGATTACAAATTTTAGAATTAATTAGGCAAGTTTGAGATTTCAATTTATTTTTATAACGTAAATTTCCTCTCTCTTTTTTGTGTGTAACCGAAGTGTCCTAAAAAATGTTACATTCCTAACTTTGTAAAATAGCTAGTTTCTTAAAATTATAAAGGATTCAGTGCCTTGCTATTGGAAGAGACAAATTAAGGAAAGATTCAGGGATTGCTTGTCTCAGTTAAGCAAGATAAGAGGTTCCTACATCAATAAATAAAGATGCAGCTTCAAGTCCAATCATAGATGGCAATGCATTGAGATAAAGTTTTCTATTGTTTAATGGTGATGATTCCATCATGAGGTGTTAATGCCTCATTCTGTAGTGTTAAAGCATTGATCCCTTCCATTCAATTATTGGCCTCTTAATTTGTATAAAGCAGTGACCCCTTATATAAGTCAGGGTTTTCTTTTTCTTCCCACCTTCTCTCTTCTTTTCTCCCTCAATCTTGCCCACCGACTAAAACCCTAAGTAAACCCTGCTTCAATCATCCCAAAAGCTCTTTTAAACCCTGGGAAAATTAGCTCCCAGCAAACCCTACCATATAACTTCCATCACTAGTATTTTCTATCTCAAAAGTCAAAACCATCCCTTCTTTCATACTTGAATCTTGCTGGATTATTAAATTATATGGCAACTTTAACATACATCAAATCGTTTAATGCCTTAAAACTTTACTTTAACCACAAAATCCTCCTCATAGACTCCTACCTTCTTCAGGCCTCCTATCGTGCACCCCTGCTCAATATAGGAGACCTAATATATCCTAAGGCCTAAACACTGACCTTAATCCAAGATTCAAACAACCAAGCCTTTCCTGTTATATTTCGTGATTGCAAAGATCACCAGTTCTATGTTTTCTTAGGGAGCAAAAGAAAAACCCTAATGATCTCAATATATGGATATCAAAGAGAGGCATTACCCAACCGTTTAGGTTCTCTATATTTTGGACCATAGGAATTGTTGGTTTTTAGAGAGACAGAGAGGTTTAACTTCCAAGAGAGAGAAAGGAAAGACTTAAGGTAGAAAGAAGCATGTAGTCTAAGCTAAAGAAGGGGTTTTCCCATGGGGTTTTAGGTTTTCTAAGTTTTCACCTATAATGAGAGAAAGTCTCATGTTGCTATCAAGGTTCTCTTCCAGATAGCCGTGTAATGATGGGAATGAATGAGATCTGATTGACGATGTGATTTGAGCGACGGTGTTGTTCGGTTGGAAGAGCAGATTTAGAAGGGAAAATCAATGAGATTTTTGCGAATATTTGGAGAAAAGAATCACATTATAGCTTATAGCTTTGCGGCTTGCTACTACTTTTCCTTTATTTCACACAGTTGTTTTATGGTTTGTTTTCACCTATTTCGCATGTAGCCGATTATATTTATAGATGATCTTGGCCGGCATCCTAGTATTTGGGGTTCTTAGTTTCGCAATCTAGGGGTTCCTGAGAACCCTACAATTATTATTATAGCACAAGACGTGTACGGGGGTTGAAGTTCGTGTTTTCAGTAAAGAAAAAATGTTCCAAATTTAGAATACATGGTTTGAGGTAGAGAAGTGTATGGAAGGAAAGTATTTGCAGGAATTCCAAAATAGATTTTGGCCACCAAGATGGAAGGAATGAAGTTTGGTAAATCAAAAGGCAGAGATTGTTAGGTTTGGTGATAGCCAAAATAAGAAGTCCTGCATTTTCCTAGAAAAATTGGGGTATTATGGTATTTGGGTAAAAGACAAAAAGAGGCTTCTTGGGGAGCAAAACATAAACCTTGCTTGATCTCTATATAAGGGGATCAAATAGAGGTAATACCCATCCCTTCTCTCTCTTTCTCTCTCTCTCTCTCTATATATATATATAGAGAGAGAGAGAGAGAGTTAGAGCCTCAAGAGAGAGAAAAAGGCAAAGAGAAATATGTCCTCCAACTTAAAGGAGTAGTTTACCCCGGGTGTTTGAATTCACCAAGTTTCCACTTCTGAAGTGAGCGTCCCATGCTGCACTCAAGGTTCTCTTGCCAATAGCAGTGTAATGATGGAAAAGAGGAAGACTGAGTGGTGGTATTGTTCTGTCGGTAGTGTAGGGGAGTAAACAAGTTGGGTTGGGCCCGCTCTAAACCCAACAAACAAGTCCAAGGTTGGACAAGGACCCAGTCAGGTTTACATCGATCGGACACGACTAGACCTATTTACACCACGTTGGGTCTGGGTATTACAATATCAAATGTATGTACGTTTATATACAAGAAATAACTTATCAGGTGGCCCGGCCCGACCTGACCCTATTGGTCCCGGCTAGATCTAGACCCGACCCGACCCGACCTGACCCCACTCTCGAGTCCCCATATTTGTGGACCTAGACATACCACTTCTAGAAGCTAGACCTAAATCCAAACCCAAGTCAAGTTGACGCATCGACTCTACAGGTTGACCCAACTTGATTATACACCCTATCAGAGTAGAGGTTTAAAAGGAAAAAACAATGACAGTTTTCCCGATGTTTATAGAGAGGTATATCTCTTGTAACCCAAAATGATTTCTACTTGCCACAATTGTGGATATAGCCCCTTTGGGGAGAACCACATAATATCTTGTGTTTTTGTGATTTACATGTACTTTTACTTTATTTCTCCCACTTGTATTGCGGTCGTATTTGTATATCACCATAGTTTGCATCTAGCCAACTATGACATGATTCAGGTGGGACCCCAGTATCTGGTTTCCTAGTTAAACATTCCTGAGAAACCTACATTTACCATGCTGATGTAGGAATGCTCCCGTTGTCCTACATCACATTTACTTTATTGCTCATTGATTGGATTCTGAATAGTCACTTGACAAACATTTTTCCTAGTTTTAAAACATGGCTCGGGGTTGGAACTCGCTCTCTGGACGAGTCTTGCCCAAGTCCCCCAGAGAGCCAAAAAAAGAAAATTAAAACAATACTTAAAAAATACTAAACATAGGAAAAAGGAAATAAATGAAATGATAAACATAAAAAGAATATAAAAGATGCAGAAAAAAATTTGGAATAAAAAACTAGAAAATTCATTAAAAACCATTTCTCTCAATTGCGAAAAATGATAAAAAATAATAATATCAAAAGTCATAAAAGCAAGTATAGAATTTGGAATGAATATATGCGAGGGAACCTAGTGGTAGCTCTACTAGGTGATAAGATGAGGGAAAGTAGACCTAGGTAGGCTGGTCATGTGCAGCGTAGACCTAATACAACACCAGTTAGGAGGGACGATTTAGTTCAAGTGGAAGATTCTAAAAGGGCAAGGGGGAGGCCCAAAAGGACATGGATGGAAGTAGTGAAAAGAGATATGGTGGCTTATGATCTAACTGAGGGTATGGTCCTTGATAGAGCAGAATGGTGGAACTTGATTCGTGTAACCGATCCCAAATAGTTAGGATAAGGCTTGAATAGTGAAGATGATGATGGTGATGATGATGATTTACACAAATATTGAAAAATTAAAAAGTAGATTATAATTAATTATAACTTAAGTATATATACCTTGAGTTGGGTGGTGTCCTAGAGTTGGCAGCCTGCCGAGTCTAATTGACTCCGGCAAGTCCAAGTCAACTCTTCAGAGTCTTTCTTTTTTTTTTCCACTGGTTACCATTGGAGGTTGTGAAAGATCATCCCAATGCTATTAGATGAGTTATGAAGGAAGGACTTGCACATTTCATAACAAAATGGGTATGTTGTAAAGCGGTCCAGTATATATGCCTGCCCTATCGATTTCTTTTAAATATGAAGCTCCCATTATGTGAACACATCTTGTCATTTGTTTCTTCAGCTTAACTAGCTTGTACCCTTTACTAATGGTAGTATTATAATAATATTGTCACCTTTATTAATACAGCCTAATGAGATAAGACAAGCATAGGAAGCATGGAGATAGGTCTAAGAGATAAGGCCTTGGTTGGGGTGAAATACAAGACTTGAGACAAAACTATTTTAGACTAAGTGGAAATGATCCAATAAAGCAACATTTGATCTTTACATGCCCAATCTAGGTCTGTTAAGTTTGTTATCTCTTCATATGGCTATTCTCCATAGGCCTTATGGGTGGTAAGAACTGAAGCAGGACAAGCCCATCACTACCGAGGGAAGACAAAGAATTTGCAACTTTGGATGAGTAGGAAAATTTGCCCATTCACATAAAAACATGGGAAATTATCAAAATACCCATGAGAGATGCACTATTTAATGTTTTACACTTTTGCAACTCTTCCAACTCATGACCATGTGTCTTTTGATGGGTATTTTGAAATTAAATCAAACTATATGAGTAAAATGCTAGGTATTTTGATAAATTTCCCAAAAAACATTCGGAGGAATCCTTTTGGATGGAACTGACAATTGCAAGAAGATCAATCTTGAGTAAAGCAAGGAAAAGAAAAAAATGGAGTTGTTTTCCTTTTTTGACATGAAATAAAGGACTACAAGAGGGGAAAAATACGATTCCGTTTAGCCTTTCTTCTTTGATATGATATGATTTCTTCATTACTATTTAGTTTTCTTTATTTTGTATGTTTCACTTATATTTTGTCTATATTGCTTTCTGGATTAAGGGATTGTACTTTGGGTTCCTTTATTCTTTTTTATGTTTTGGATTCAGAGATGAGGGATATAAGACATGAAAGAAGGGTTCACACTAGGAAAAGACAAAGTGTCCATGAGGTGGGAGTGGGAGTGAGAGGAGCGGTTAAAAAAAGTTAATGTGTCAAAGACTCATAGTTGAGGTGTCTCAAGATATAAGCCAAAAAAAAAAAGCCCCAAAATAGGTGATAGCATCAGTTCATAGTTCATACATCACCTATACAGTGAATTAAAAACATAGGTGAGTATCAGACATGTGACAGACATAAATATTATCGACTTCAAATCCAACATCAGCACAAACCGTTCAATTTGAATAGCACTGCACTAAATGGTACAATTTGAAGTATATTAAGCACCCAACCAATAAATAAATAATTTAATTACCCTCCTCGTTCAGAGAAAGACTAATTCAACATTATTGGCAATCCAATGAGCATGGATCAGAAAACCCCTTACATCATTTCTCAAATGAACAGAAATCATCACTCATATTCCATGAACAAACTTGTAAAACTCCACTTCTCTCCCTTAGTTAAGAGTGTTTTGCAGTTTTCATGATAATTTCAAACACCGCGGATGCATTCTACCTATTTTCACTCATCAATTTGATCCATCATCAATACAATCAACTATTAAACAACACAAATTTATGAAATGGTAATAACAAACCAAACATTAAACTATTAGAGAACAAAAATTTATGAAATGGTAGTAAGAAACTAAACATTCGTGATGATTTCCTCAGAAGAAGCCATTAAAATACCCAATCAAACATGATCTTCCCCAACTATAAAAGAAGATAAACAAACACCAAAAACCTAAAACCTCAAAAGATCATATCAACATGAAAAGTTAATGGATAGATTTATCAGCTAAAAAATTACCTTTTAACTTATCAGCGAGAATTTGGAGATAATCACGAAGCTTCAAAAATGCCTGGTCAGGATCAAGTTGAAGAGAGAGAAAGTCAGGATCGTGCAGACCCACCCGCTCTCCAACAATGGAAGTGAGATGTTCAGGCAAGGAGAGGCCAAACAAGAGAGTTCTGGCTTGAGAAGTCGCCTTTTCAAGAAAAATGAAGCCCGAAATTGGGCTGTCAAAGGGGTTGCATAGTTGGGTTAGGGAATTTCTTATCTGCGATCCATCAAGCACAGTCAGGCCACCGTCCGCCATGAATGAAAGCTGCTCTAGAGAGAGAGTAGAAAGAGAAAGGGCACTGAGTTTGCGCGACGAGAGAGATGGGAGGGAGCCGAGCAAAAGGACCGCTATATGTATATATATGTTTGGGAAAGTGGCGGAATTGGGTTTGGAAATATACTGGAATAACGAAAGTGCCACTAGAATATGATAAATGACGATTTTGTCCTTTTCCAAAGGTGATATCAGCTTGGTGGTGATATCGGATGTACTTTTTGGAGGGACAGGGAAAAGGATGAGAGAAAAGAAAGTTGGGGAGATGATGTTACTTTGAATTTTGAAACTTTGGAAATAAGGTATATGCCTTTGCCTCAAAGGGATGCGGTTGGCATGAGGTTGCGATATTAAACAATAAACGGAAAGTTTCGTATGGCATTTCACGGTGAACCCCTTTTTTTTCTTTTTTCTTTTTTTTTTTCTTTTTTTTTTTTCCTTAAGCGGCATATTGTCCATTATTCCCTCAGGTAAAATTACACCTAAGAGTAATTATAAAACCCCAAATTTTAGGGATATAACCTTATTAACATAGATTAACTCTCCCTTTGTCTTGTTAGGCTGGAATTTTGGATAATTACGATTGTTGCCTCACTTTGGATCCTATGGAAAGTGAGATATTATCGCCTTACTCTCTGATATATAATGCCTAACTATCATGTGAGCCTACGCCTCACTCCCTCTTACGGTTTTCCCCAATCTCCTTCTCTTTTCTTCTTTCAAATACCTACTCTTTCTTAAATACAGTCGGCCGTCTCTCTGACATATTTGGACTAAGCCTCCATATGGTTGGTTTAAAGATGGAGTGTTAGGGGTACTCAGTATGGCTTCGGTGGCCTTTTATGTGATCATAATGACACCTTAATCTGGTCTTTCTCGGGCAGCCTCCATTCTTGTGAGATATTAATGAAGCATAACTCTGGGCAGTTAAAATGGGGGTCTCTCATCTTGCACAGTCTCATAGGAAGATTACCGGTGAAAGAGACTCCACCAATGTAATTTTATGGTGCTTCCAACCATTCCGAACTCTGTGGAGACTGAGCGTGATCATGGATGAAATCCTCTTGACACTAGGGAATCGGGAACGATTCTTTGTTCACTTCTTTTGAAGTGCCAATCCAAATGCCGACTCTTTGGCAAACATGCTACTGCTACTTGATTTCTGGCATGTGTACCTGCTTGTGGCCGCATTGGTCACGACTTTCTTCTTTCCCCTCCTTTGTTATTTTTTCCTTTTTTTATGCTTTTTTTTTTCCATGTATCTTTCATTATCTTAATGAATATCGCCTTTATATATATCTAAAAAAACTTAGATTAACCTCGATAAATAAAAAAATCCTAATTGCACTCTGTAAACACATGAAAAACTTAATGTCTCAAGATTGAATGGAAACCATCTAATTTTTAGAGTGTGAAATGTAAGTGTTAAAAAACTCAAATTTCGACTTTAAAAAAAATATATATATATCTAGTGCTTTTAAGGTGGTTACCAAGATTTAAGATCGAAAAAATCATCTCAAGCTGGCCATTTGGCTGAGGGAGTAGATTTAAGCTATACTTCTAAAGAAACATAATATGCATACATGTACAATAAAACTATTTACTTTTGATACAAAGAGTGACCATTACCCTAACTACGTGATATGAAATCAGTTAATTGGTCATGATTGTGCCAGAAATGGCACACTTAAGTCATATGATTTACATCTTGACAGCTTGAGATGTTCGCGACCTGTTTTAGGGGTGGCCACAGGTCGGGTCGGGCTGGATCATGAATCCATACATGAAAAAATGATATGGGACCTAGACTGGACCTAAAAATTATAATATTTATGTATTTAATTACATTTAAATACATTTCATATATTGGGACCCGAAAAATATTAGCCGGACCTAGACCCGAACCCGACAAGCCGGGTCCATTTTTTGGACCCATATGAAGACCAGGTCGGTTCTACCCCTTGGGTCCCGAAGGGTGGGGGCCATTGCCACCCTAACCGTATTGCACGAAAAGTAGAGATCACATTAGAATCACTCCGTAAAAACAAAACCTTTTTGCACGTTATGATCCAAATCACTCCGTAAAAACAAAACCTTTTTGCACGTTATGATCCAAATCAAGTTCTTCAAATTACGGAAACAGCCTCTAACGTGAGACGAAATTTGGAGGTATATAAATGAGGGGACGGTAGTAAACTTCTAAAGGCAAATTTATCAAGTAGTCATTATATATGAAACCTAGAGGTTTCAGTATTTAAGAATTATGGAAATTATAAAGGTGTGGTTTGCATGAGGTTGCAATCTTAAACAAGTGTACATGAGATGGAATTTTAGTATATAAAAAAAAAAAATCTTAGGATGGTGCAAGAATACGTTGGTATCTCTAATTATAAAATCTTAAACTTCAAAAATAGTTCAACTCAAATAAATCTATAAATGCATGAAATTTTTGAAAATAGACGGTCTAGATAATATGTTGTAAGATGTACTATTTTTAGGATGTGAAATCTTTTTTTCTCTCTATATCTATAAATCTCAATGTCAAGATAATCAATTAGAGGTTGAGAATCTATACTATGGTGAACATAAATATATAAAATAATTAATTTTAAAAAATATGTTTTGATGTATTCTTTTACACCGTGGATTGTAAGTTTTGATGGGATCACCATGATCATGAATATGAAAAGAAAATACGAGCTTTAAAATTGAATTTTTTTTTTTTTTGGTACTGTTCATTTTAGTTCTTCAAAGATCCTCATATTCATACATTTGTTGGAGCTGCAAATTCATAAATCGGAAGCAAAAAAGAGTTATTGTGGTTTGAGATGTGCTTCCAACCTCGTATCACATGAGGAAGACTCACCGAATTCTTTTCCTTGCTTGTTACATAAAGGATCAATTGTGTCATTAGATATTTATTTATTTATAGATAATTTGGGAAACAAACAAGTAATGTAGCAATCACTTTTCTTATATATGGTCTGCTAAATAAATAATATAGGAAAAATGTCTATATAAGGTTGCAAACTTAAAATATAAAAATCGAGATGCAGAATTAAAGTGTACCTAAAAAATCCATCAAAAAAAGGTATTTTGATATTGGAAAACCCTCTAATTGATTATCTCGAAATCGAGCTGTATAGGTATGAAAGAACTTAAAAAAAAAAAAAAAAAAAATACGAATCCCAAAAATAACATACCTTGCAACACATTATCTGGACCGTCTATTTTTTAGATTTTTCTGTTTTAAAACAATCTACTTGATTTGAACATTTTTTCAAGTTTACAATTCAATAATTATAGATAAAAATAGATTCTCATGTCATCCTAAAAAAGTTTTATGCCAACGTTACATAAAATTTGGAAGTGCATCATATTTCAATCGTTTAAAGTTAACACACCCATAATAAAAACCATTTTAAAGAGGCCGCTCTTCAAGCAAGGTGTATTGGACCATTCGCTTTTCCGCCCGTGTCTCTACTTCATTCAACTCGCAATGTGAATTCCCACCCTATTATTGTAGAGCCAAAACCTTCCTCAAGCAAAAGTCGAAGCACTTAAAACCAGTGTTCAAAACAATGGATTGGCCGATGAGTCACCAAAAAACTTAAAATATCTCAAAACATATCGTAAAAAATATTTAAACTTTACATGCATTTTTTTTTATATTATCACATACAAAAAGCAAAACAATAAATTTTACAAACATAATTGGGTTTCAGAGAAAATGATTAGGCACCCAATACTTTTTCAGTGATCAATATATAATAATATATTATATTATATATATATATATAATATGTAATCAAATATA